GAGATAATAATTATTATTAGAAATAATATAAAATAGTTATTTACTAACTATATTTATTATATACTATTCTAATTAGTTAAGAATCTATTTATAGTAATAAAGCTACTTTTAATAGTATAAATTAAGTAGCTATATCTACTTAGTCTATTACTTTATTATATAGTTTATTTAGAGCTATAGTAAGTACTTATAGAGAATAGAGACTAGCTAGAAAAAAAACTATATTTTAAGAATAGCTATTTACTTATATAGGCTTATTATAATCTAATATATAATTTATAGTTTTAATATATTATATACTATATTAAGATAATTAGAATAGAAATAGTTCTTAAAAGTTAATTAAGTTTATATTTTTATTTTTAGTTATCTAGTTTAGATTTAGATTAGGATATTAGATTAGATTAGACTAGGATATTAGAAAAGTATTTATTATTAGTTAGAAATAATAAGAATAAAAAGTTAGTTATTTTTAAGATTATAAGTTAATTTATTTTTATAAATATAATATATATTTACTACTATAGGAAATTTTATTAGAAATAATATAGATTTAATATTAATTTAATATCTATTTATATATACTTAGTTATACTATATAATAATTAAAAGTAATAGAAAAATAATTAAAATATATTTAAAATTAAATTATAAACTTTTAAAGTTTATTTTAAATTTTATTAAATATTTAAAATAATAATAGTTTAAATAATATTTTTAAATATTTTTTTTAAATTATAATTTAAGTTTAAATTTAAAGATTAATATTCTAAATAATTTATTATTTTATAAAAGTAATAATAATTATTATTTTCTACTATATAGTTATAAAATATTTTTAAAATTAAAAAACTTAAATTTATAAAAGCTTAATCTTATAATTATTATTCTTCTTACTACTATTATTATTATTATTTTTATCTATAGTATTATTATTATTTAAAATAAATAGATTATTAATAATAGAATTCTACTATTAAGGTAGAGAAACTATAGTAATTATAATATTTTCTTTATTATTATATAATAATTAAGATAAGATAATTAGCTAAATAAAAGTTATTAATATATAATAATTAGATAATTTATATTAAATAAAATCTAAAATAAATTAAAATTAAACTAATTAGAGTATTATTCTAAATAATATAATTAAATTATTATAAACTATATAATATAATTTACTATTAATATATAAATATTATAAAGCTAATAATAATAAATATATAGATAATATTGGATTTATTAATAACTATTTAAAGAAATATTCTAATTAATAAAATAAATATATATATATACTAGATAGCTTATAAAAGCTTATTAGTAATTTAGAGTAAGTTAGATTATAAATTATATAGACTTACTAGTAATCTAAAGTAATTTTTCTCTTATTAGTAGAAAAAGTAGAATATAATATATAATACTAGAGGTATTTCTTTATTTATAATATACTAGTAATATTTTTCTCTTCTCTACTACTTCTAAATTATATTCTTATATTTATCTATTTATCTATATAGCTCTATTAGTAGCTTTCTATTATATTATTATATTTATATATCTTTAGTCTCTCTTTAGTATTTAGCTTAGTCTATTTATTTTATTTTTATTCCCCTGAGATATATATATATATTAGTTTTAAAATAATTAACTATTTATTATTATTATCTTTTACTAAGTTTCTATATAGTAATATAATTATTTAATATTATAAAGATAGTATAAGTAATATAAGTTATAGATCTTTTATAAAATATAATACTTTACTTAGTTTAAAATATTAAATTACTAGATATAAGAGCTCTTATACTAGATTTTATAAACTTAGTTAAATATTAAAGATTTATTATATTTTCTCTATAGGAATAAAGTAATAGAAAATAAGTCTATCTAGAGCTATAGTATTATATAATATTAAATTATAGTATACTAGATATTTAATACTTAATCTATATATAGAAAATAATACTATTTTATTTAAGAGCTTATTATTATAGATATTATAAATATTATTAATATAATAGAGTAGATTAAGTTCTATCTAAATCTATAATATTAATTATAGTAGTAATATTAGATATTTAGATATAGTTATTATATTTTATAAATAGTTATATATTTTATAAATAGTTATATATTTAATATTTCTAATACTATCTATTAGTATATTATAAAATATAGCTTACTTATAATATTTTATATTCTATATCTATTTAATAGCTATATAGATAATTATAGTATTTAAAATATTAAGAGAAATAAATAAATCTATAGGAGCTATTATAGCTATAAGCGGGATAATATAAATACTATAAGGAGCTGCTCTTTTAAAAATTTTATACTTACTATTAATAATATTTTTTTTACAGATAAGTAGATTAAAAATAATAGAACTTAAGTATACTCTACTATCTATTATATAACTATATAAATAGAAAGTAATAGAAGGATATTAAAAGTAGATAGTTAGTCTGCTCTTTATCCCTATTAGTATGCTTAGAAAGTAGAAGCAGTAAAAAATATCTACTAAGCGCTACTCTTATAATATACTAATATAGATAAAACTATAGATAATTAGTTAAGTAATAATATAAGTAATTTTTAAAACTCTAACTCTCTTTCCTCTAATAATAGTAAGTATATATCTATACTGCCTAGGAGCTAACTGAGATCTGCTAGAAGTGCTTTTACTATAGTAGTTAAAATAAAACTATAGCTTTTAATCAGAGTAAATAGAGTGCTCTAATACTATTATCTTAATAATAGCTGCTAAATTAAACAGAATATCTAGTATAATTAGCTTAGAAACAGTTATACTATATTTAGTTATATAAACCAGCTTAATAACTAATAAATATATAATAAATATTAGATTAATATTAATATATCCCCTAATATTAAATATATATAAATATAGTAACTAAAGAGAGATTTATATATTCTACAAGAGTAGGAATTTATAAAAGAGCTAGAATTAAGTATTATTAGATTAACTAGTATTAGTATCTTAAGATATAAGCTCTCTTTATTATATATCTAGAAATAGCTTCTATTAAAAATAGTTATCTAATAATATTTATAATATCTATTTCGCCTTTTACTATATATATATAGAGTACTATATAATACAGTACTAATATTCTATAATAACTACTGTATTTATATTATATCAGCGGAGCGATGTTTGGAATATCCCTTACCGTCACCCGATAGCTAGTCCCGTTATCGCAGGGTAGGCATGATATCAATACTAATGTAATGCGCTAGATGATCTTCGAGGTATATACTGAAAACGCGCTTTTCTAGATCAGTGCGCGCTTCGGTCTACAAACGATCTCATGGCCTCGGGGAAAATTGCATTAGTCATCTATATATATAATACGGTGTAGGAGTCAGAGGTAGTAGGGGGGCCAACAAGTAGCAATTTCGCCAGCGACTCGCAAAGAAAAAGGCGACTTCGTTTTGTTAGATCTATCCACCAAGAAAGTAGACCTACCCTATACTAAATCCATGAAAATTAACTCTAGTGTAGGCACCTAAAAAAGTGACTTAATCTTCCATACTAAATCAATGGACTCATAAGTTACTTTTTCATTTGCGAGTCGCTGACGAAATTGCTACTTGCTGACCCCCCCACCATAGGCAGGGGGGGGCTGGCTCATCTAGGCCCCCAAGTAGTTCCTTTCACCAGAACCAGCTTCGAAAGGGAGGACTACCATTTTTTCCAGCCAAGTGATCGGGATCCTACATTTCAAGGTGACAAGCTCAATCCAACTCGCATTCATTATGATATTGAATGGAAGCTTCAAGGAAACACTGTCAAAGCTTGCCAAGATCACGGAGGTGAACCTTACCCTTGCCTCTGGTAAGTTCTTGACGTGGGCTTGGCTCGTACCTCGTACGTGCTCTGTCTGGTGGAGAACACTACAATACATAGCATAGATTGTGAAGAGAATAGTGATTTCGCTCATGACTAATTTCTTAGGTATTCTGTAACAATAGCTTCATAGGTGTTCTGTATCTTCGGGTTATTAGGCCCATTCAGCCCTCCCTCCTTCCTATGTAACGGTAGTCACTCGTCTACGCTCTTTATGTGAGTACTGTGGATGGCACTGCTTGGAATTGACCAAACAGCCCCGCCCTCATCATCACTTTGGCTGTTGGTGGCGAGCTGCAGAGAATGCGCTTTACATGGGTGCATGGAAACTTGCCTGCCCACACCGCCTTTCGTTCCTCAATCTAGTCCCTGTAGCCTAACTAGTGGGATTACCGTACGGTTTAACGCCCCGTACCCGTAGTCGCCCTTGTCGATGTCGGGTTTGATGCGGTGAAAGTTTGCGCGCGAACTTATCTTGCCTGTGCGCATCTGTGTAATAATCGAGCTGATTGCTCGATGTAGTCCTTGTTGCTCCAAAACTACTCCATACTGTAGAGTGTCCTACTAGAAAAATCGTTTGAGAGATGCCAAGCTGGGCTAGCGCATGGCTACCTAGCCCCGCAGTACGTAGCGTGTTGACACATTACGGGCAGTAACCGACCTGTGCGCTCAGTCAACCAGACATGTGAGCAATATGAAAGAACGAAGCAGCTATTCGACCCGCCCAGACTACTGCTATAAATTCATGCATGGTTCCTCGTCCTTTTGCGCGTTGCTAAGCTCTTGTATGTACGGTCCAACCTAACATGTGTTGCTTAACAAATGCATCTTGAGCTCCATAGTGCCGCATCTTGTTCGATCGGCCGCAAAATCAGCCTACATGGTCCTGTGACACAATAAGCCACCAACACAGGCTGCTGCGCCCGTTTGCACGCCAATCTGGATAAGAATGGAGGAATCCTCGGCCCTGCCTCTCAAGAATCGCTACACGCATAATTACCGCCCTCCCAACTATAATCATTTCCGTGGTATCTCAATACCCTCCGACTCGAAATCCCTCAAGACCGCCTTCTGTTTCTTTATTGCCATACTAACCTTGCTCTTTCTCGGCTCCGCGGCAAAAATGCCGGTGATGTGCGGCACTTCCAACTCAGACTTTGAGGCGCTCAAGCTCCCCCTTGGCGCTAGGTTGGCTGAAGCACTCATTGCTGTAATTGCTATCGGCTTGGTTACATTGGTCTACACTCTCCTCATTCAGCGAGGAGCACTTATGGCGACGACCTGTGTTTACCCCCAGAGACCAATCGAAGCTAATATCAGTCACCTGTTGAATGCGGCATGGCCTTCATCGAGTGAGGAAGTCGGCACTTCCTGGGAATCGAACCAGTCGGCACCAAAGGGACAAGGCAACAGTATCATACAGTTATTCTACATCGGGAAGATGAAGGACGACTCACGAGATGGCTTCGTCGCTAAGGGGAGACAGCAATCGATTGCGGAGCCATCAGGATCACAGAATCGACGATCCGTTTGGTTAACATCAGGATCGCCACTAACCAGAAACGTAGTGCAGATTATGGTGTGGGAGTGGGCCTCCTTGTGGTTGATGATTATTATGAGTGTTGCCCTACTTTTATTCAATGGCTTCTTCACCAGCAATGTCAATCTGGATAGTTACCCCCGCCTCACAATTACCTTGATTTACTCTGCGGCCTTCATGGCTCACTTCTCCTTTGTTTGGATTGCTTCCTTAGAATTTTTCGGGTTAGTGTTTGCTGGCGCCAGCTGGAGTCTTCTGGAAAAGTCAAAGTTTGTTATAGCGGAAACCCACAAGCTTCAAAGCCACTCGGTCGGGACACCATTCAAGTTCCGAAGCATCGACAAAGCCAACGAGGCATATGTGCCAATGACCTTCGCTGCTAGGCTTGGAAATCCTACACCACAATCTCCAACACTTGCTCTGTCTTCCTCAACAATGGCTGATGTAGCCAAAGGCCAGAATCTAGAGCTAGGGGAGGGCGCCGCCGAGCTTAGTGTCACTCTGGAAACGATCAATTCTATCCAAAAAGCAGAAAGAGAATATTCTACAGAGGCATCCAGACAGTCTCTGGACCGCGTCATGGCTAATGCAATGATGATGATGGCGGTGACTCTGGTGAACGGCTTTGCCTCGTGGACCTCGAGCCAATTCACGGAAAACAGTCCCAATAACACGACAACCACTCAAATTGGGTCGCTAGCACTACTTGCCTCTCTGTCACTTGGGGCCACTACCATGTTCTCCTCTGCGATGCAGCTGAACATCATGAAGTCATCCTTCCGTACTATTTTATCGCTTAAAGAAATGAAGATAAATGGTCTTGCACTCGATCTCCATCGAAAGACGCGCACTAGGACTGCCTCTTCTTGGCACATCGACCATCCAAAAGCAGTGGCGTTCACAGAATCGAATGGCATTGCCATAGCGGATGTTAAAATCGCGGATTTCTTTGCTGCCAATCGTTCCTTCGGGTACACCGGACTTATCGGCATTGTGCTCCTTGGACCAGGTTATGCTATGCTCCCTCGCTTTAGTGATTATCATCGCAAATCAGCCGAGGTTGAATTCGACTTCGAGGCACCAATTGACGGTGGAAAGGTTGTTTTAACGACAAGGGAGACTGATCGTCATGCTAAACGAGAGGGCAATGGAAATCTTGACCCAGTTGTTGTCTGCTACATGCCAGATGAAAGCTTTGGAAAGGAGCCGTGTTGAGGAACAGTGCACTCCTTGGTAGAGTATGCAGAAAGATAGGGTGGAATTTTACCCAATAGTTGATTTAGTCAGTTTGCATGTCTATGAACCATACAACTGGATGACGAACAAAGGAGATAATGCCCTCGTTTCAAAAACCCCCTCTCCTTACGGAAGCCACATCTTGATGCGTGAGGTACTTCATATCACTCACAAAGCGGACCATCTCTTCGTTCGGCTTGATTTCCCGAACAGCAAAGCAAGCCATTCTCCATTTGGGGATCTTCCCTCCCTTACCGGTTTATTTACTGTCGTTTTGAGATGACTAAGTGAGGAGGTAGAACTGTTCAACCTGAGGGTTCGCAAAGCGTTATGGCGGCGGGACACGTACTCAATGTTTGACTTCCTTGCCACGATGGCGCAGATGCTGGAAAATTACCTCTCTTCAGGGCATTGTCGCTCTTGCTTATCTCAGGCTCCACCTATACCAGCTAATCAATTAGAATTGCTACTGGTGATCCCTTAAAGCGATGAATCGCTTGGAGAAATGCGCTGTACACACCATGGCCATGGCGTACCGGGATGTGAAAGGAAGATTGGAATAGCACGTTATGTGAAAATTGCTTCTGCTACTCCACTTAATCCTATAAATTGTTGATAGCCGCCAGTGTGGGGTTGTAGAGTTGATCTAGGTCTCCTGTAGGAGTACCGAAACTCATCCTCTCATCCTTATCAAAGGGAAAGAGAATGCTTCTGATCCTTAGGCACAACGGCTTCACAACTCCCAACGCCTCTTGAAATTCGGCCATAATCCTTTCAAGGCCGTTTACTGTCATATCGCCCTCTTTATTGACTGCGATGGACTTAAAGCCCCCGACGTCCCATCTCCTTAGCAGACTCTCCTTAGGTGGCCCATCCCCACAGTTGAATTGGGGTTCATTCCGTGATTCCCGCGTACATATCTATAGCAATATGTAGAAGAACGACTCCAGATCATGGCGGTAGGTGTGGTCGGTTATGGGTAGTACCTCTACCGCCATGAACTGCATCGTACACGTCTGGTGCCGCGATCCGCTCGGACTGCTGTCTTTTTACCTTCGCCAGGTCAAGGTCAATGGGCGTGACCTTGGAGCCACCCGCTGTCTCAGGGTTTGTAATAATGATGTTATTGGATAATATATTGCAGTGGAGAATATTGCCTGTCCTATACAGAGATCGATAAGCCTTGATCGTATTATATATCGCTTTCAGTAATTCCTTGACTGTCTTGAAGTCGCTGATCACCCTGCTAGCTGGCGGGATGATGAGGCAGGAGGGGGTCGTGCTCTCCTATAGGCCCTCGCTGTGACTATACAGACTGGGCTTGGCCTTGGTGTTGCCTGTCGATAGCTTGGCCTTTAATATCTGGACTGACCAGTCTTGACTTCTGGCTGCTGGACTGCTGCCTCTTGGATTCGGAAGCGTCAGATAAGTGGTTAGATAATAAGTTCTGCTTATGAACTGATATATTTATCCTAGCTGCAGCTGTTGGTAAATCTTCAAAATAGACCTTCTTATTCCGGAACTGGTAATACTCTTAAAACTCCAGGCCCTCCCGCAGCTATATAATTAATATAATCTAGTAATATACTATAACTCTTACTACCCCTTTAATACCCCTCTCTTCTGCTAGCTTCAGCTGTACTATCTCTAACTTCCACTTATTCGATACCTATAAGAACTTGATAATATAGCTCGTTCCTATCTCCTGGTTGTATTTAGCCTCTAAGCACATAGTACCACGATATACGATAGCTTTCTGCCTCACGATTGCTTTCACTAGCCTGATTCGCGTCTCTACCGTTGGCGTCATCCTGACGCCAGAGCTTGCTCAACCAAAATGAACTCCATAAAAAGCAGCGGGGCAGGAATTTCCGATATGAATAACAACGTCCGGAGAACGGTTGAGCGCCGGGGCAGACTACTACCGCCACAACGGACTCACCAGGCCGCGTTACTCTCAGCGGGTTGGACCAATACTTCCCTTCGATACTTGTTCTAATTGGGGGGCTTAGTTTGCCTATAACTATATGTTCCTGTCTAAATTGATATGAGAAATTTAGATTTATATATAACCTATCTCAGATATATATCTATTAATATATATAAACTATAGCTAGAAATTAAATTAATATAAAAATATTTATACTTCTATAGGATAAATATATTTATACTAAGATTTAAAACTATAATATTTTAAGCTATAGTTCTATAAGAGTATTTTATTTTCTAGTATTATATTATAAATCTAATAATAGATTATATAATAGTTCTTTAAAATAATAAGATATCTATAATAAAAGTATTTAGCTATATTACTAGATATATAAAACTATTTAGCTAGATTTTTTCTTAAGAGATTATCTAGTTATAATATAAAAGCTTTATTAATATATAAAAAATAATATCTAGATTATTTTTTATTTATTTTAATTAAAATAGTTTTTAATATAATTCTTAGAGCTTTTTATAAAGAGCTTTATTTCTATATATTTATTTTAGATATTAATTAAGAATTAGTTAAAGATATATTTTTATAGTATATTATTAGTTCTTCTTTAACTATATAGTATATAATAATAATATTAATTATATTATTTTATCTTTAATAATAACTCTTAATTATATTATTATAGTTAGTAGCTAGAGCTTATACTAGATATTTCTAAGCTAATCTTTAAAAATAGTAAACTTATTAAACTAGTAAATTATAATCTTTAAAATAAATATATTCTATCTAGCTTATTATAATCTAGATTAGAATAGAAGCTAATATAAAAAAATACTAAATAGGAATATAAGATATATATTAAATTCCTTACTACTAGAAGTAATATTAATAATATAAATCTATAAGTAAATAGTATACTTAGTAAAGAAATAATTAATAGGATATTATATAGATTAGAATTAGAAAAAACTAAAACTAAATATAGATTTATCTTTAAGTAGAGAAACTTAAAACTATAATATTTATAGTAGAATTTAAATTAAAGATTTACTATAGAGTTAATATAGAATTTGTTTAAATTACAGTGGGTTTACAGGGCATTAGCCCTTATAAGCCTCTATAATATAGCAGGGAAGTTCGCTATAACTCACAGTTCTCAACTGCTAACTCCGCTATAACTCAACGAGTTTCAGTGCTAGAGGGACTAAATATAGTGTAAAATATAGCGCAAAAGAATCTTATTTTTGTGAGAGAGACTAGAAAATTCTACTAATTTCTCTCATAGGTCTACCAACTAAAAACTACTCTAAAACCCGCTACAGCTGCTTCCCGGGCCACTTTTAATTTTCCGCAAAATTCATTACTATAGGAAATCTAAAAAATCAACTCATAACTACCAAAACCTTCGACCGATATATATAACTTTTATAAGACCCACTTTTATCTGAAAGAGGCTCTTAAGCTGATCAGTTGAGTATAGATATTGAATACCTTATCTTTAAAGCTGAAGGAATTATCTAAGATCTAAGACCTAGTCTAGGGTAGACTGGCTATAGGGTAGGCTGGGTATAGGTTAGGTTATCTAAGAATATCCTAGGACTTTTCCCGGATTTTCTAGACCCTTATCTGGGCTAGATAAGCCCGATAACCTAATAATAGCTCTGCTGGTGGCCCGGACC